TTTTTTTGGTTTTTTCTCTGGTACCGGGAACCGAACTCACGACCTTGCGCTTGCCAGGCAGGCGCTTTTGCCGCTGAGCTAAATCCCCAGCCCCTAGAAACTTAACATTACTACTGTAGTTGGCCCTGGTGGTACATGCCTATAATCCCAGCACTCTAGGAGGTGAAGGCAGAAGGATCTTGAGTTGAACCCAGCCTGGGCAACTCAGAGACTTAGTGAAACCTTATCTCTAAGGAAAAAATGGGCTGGGGATGCAGTTTAGTGTGAAGGCCCTTGGTTCAATTTCTAGTGCAAGGGAAAAAAAATTATTATGAAAATATAAAAATTACAACGCAAGAAGGAAAATTTAAGAGACAGAGAATATGAGTCTATCATGTTACCTAACTACTTTAGTGGCAGACTGGACACTCATGCTGTTTAACACAACTGTAGTACCAATCTCAAAAGAATATAATTTAAAGGATGGAAAACGAGTTATCTTTCTAAATATGCTATAAAATAACAGTTCTCAATCATGGCTTTATATCCTTAAAACCTGGAGAACTTCAACATTCTATTGGCCAACCTATATCCCAAACTAAGTAAATCAGTTTATAGGGGTCCCACTCAGGCACTGGTTTTTAAGCTCCTTGGGTGATTTCAATATGCAGACACCACTGTGTAAGAAGTGGCTTCTTCCAGTTAAATGTCACAGTATGACATCTCCCTTGTCTATTTAGAGATAGGTGTTATCTACTTCTTACAGCCGTAGATTCTCTGGCCCACAACTATATTTAATAAGGTCACCAACTGGGTCTTTTATGGATTCTTTGATACTGATTTTTAAATTTTTAATCTACAACTATATATAGACAGTAACATAGTTTGAAAAGGTAAGTGAAAAGAACTAAAACAACCCTAATCTATTCCTTAAAAGATAATCACTGTTGGCATTTTGATAAATAACCACCCTTTTTAATGTATTTCTTTCTCTCCTCACTGGATCATGCTACATATTGTTAAGATTTTTATTTAATTTTTCAGAGGGTTGTTGAATTTTTAGCCTGAAGTATTACTTCTTTATTGTCTCATCTTAAATTAGAAGAGTCAATCTTTCCCTCCTATACTCTTTACTTTTCACAATATACTCTGGACATGGAATTTTTTGGAAGGGACAGCCTGGATCTCACTTTATTCTTCTGTTTTTCATAGAACCTAGGAGTCATGTGTTCACTCTCAGTGAAATAATTTGTGTTTTGAGGTGCAGCTCTAAGTATTTAAGTTTTTTTGTTTTCTTTTGTTTTTTGAGACAGGGTCTTGCTATGTAGTTCAGGCTAGCCTTCAACTCACTAAGATCCTCCTGCCTCCACCTCCCAAGTGCTGGGATTACA